AAGAAAATGTATAATGTGTAAAGCGTATTCCATCAATCCAAAAGGGTATCAAATGGCTCGACTATCTCATCCTTCCTTTCTTGTTGCTGTTGTATCTCACCTTAGTCGTGTGATATTTGCAGAGTGGTCCGGCCCAAAGTTGGACTGCGGGCTAAGGGCCGGGGGCAGAGATTACACACGAATAGTTGGACATATGAGGCACGAAACGTGCTCCTTAACTTCACTTTTTCCCAGGCATTGAACTTGTTATAGGGACTGCAACTGCAGCAGCGACTGGGTCTGTGGGATCTCATCTCTGGCAAAACAATTAGCCAGACGGCAGCAGCAGCGGCAGAGGCGGCTTCTGCTTTGGCTTAGACTTACTCCACTCCACTCCACTCCACCCCATCGCACAACACACCCATTCTTGTTGCTTCAATTTGAACATTCAACTCATCATTATCTTGCCTTGGTTCTCCCCCCGTTTCAGCCGGCTCGCCATACCAAACTGGAGAAGGCCGACATACTCGAGATGACGGTGAAGCATCTGCAGTCTGTGCAGCGCCAGCAGCTGAACATGGCCATCCAGACGGACCCCGGAGTGGTGCAGAAGTTCAAGACGGGCTTCGTGGAGTGCGCCGAGGAGGTGAATCGCTACGTCAGCCAACTGGACGTGGATACGGGTGTGCGGCAGCGACTGAGTGCCCATTTGAACAACTGTGCCAACAGTCTGGAGCAGATTGGCTCGATGAGCAACTTCAACAATGGCTATCGGGGTCAGATTCCCGCCGGACTATTCCCAGCAGCCGTGGGTGGAATTGCCGCCTCCACTCCGCTGTTCCCCTCACTGCCGCAGGACTTGAACAACAACAGTCGGACGGAGACCACTCCGCCATCCATCCAAATGGGTGGCCTACAGCTCATCCCCTCACGCTTGCCATCCGGGGAGTTTGCCCTGATCATGCCCAATACGGCGGGAGCGACGGTTCCTCCAGCGGGACCCTTTGTCTGGCCTGGTGCAACGGTCGCGGCGGGAGGTCCGGCCAGCGCCGCCTTGGCTAGCATTGCGAATCCCACTCATCTCAGCGACTACGCCCAGAGCTTCCGGCTGAGCGCCTTCAGCAAGCCTCCAAGTGCGGCTGCTCCCACAGGCCAGATCGCCAGCAACACGCAGATCCCAGCACAGACACAGCTGCCGGTGAAGAACAGAAGCAACACTCCCACCAGCAGTCCACCACTGAGCCCCATCTCCTCAATGTCCAGCCATTGCGATGAGTCCCGGGCTGCCTCGCCCACCGTCGATGTGTTGGCGAAGCACAGTTTCGCCGGAGTCTTCTCCACGCCACCGCCGACCAGCGCCGAGACGTCGTTCAACACGAGCGGATCGCTCAATCTGAGTGCCGGCAGCCACGACAGCAGCGGATGCTCGCGCTCCCTGGTCCACTTGCAGCAGCAGCAAGTGAGCTCCACCAGCGGACACGCGAAGCGGGAACGGGAGGCAGAGGTTGAGCCGGAGCCGGAGCCGGAGGCCGATTCTAGTGACTGTTCGTTGGACGAACCCTCGTCTAAGAAGTTCCTGGTGGCAGCCATCGACAAGTCCAGCTCCGCCTGGAGGCCCTGGTAGATCTATCGATCTAGAGAGCTGGAGAATCAGATTTGACGACAAAGTTTTATGTTAAGTTTATCCTCAAATTGTTAATTTATTTCATAGCAATTAATCGAAAATCCAACCAACAACAACAAATGCTTTAGAACCCATTAAGTTTCTACCATAATACGATAGATTTCTATGTTTTTTCCATGTTCTATGTTTTGCTTTCTTTATTTTAAGTTCAGCTGTGATTTTGTATATTTTTTGTGTAATTCTCATCTAAGCATTCTTATATTAAACACTTGTACTATTATGTAGTTCATTGACCAATGAAGTTTTTGTAATTTCTCTCCATTATTTAAATGATTCTTATGCGGATGTTTTAGTTAAGTTATGTAGATTTTTCAAAGCATAGCATTAAGTTTTTCACGTTTCAATTTAAAGTGTTTTATTATACAATTTTGTAATCTTAATTTTATGATATGACGGAAAAAGAGTGAAAATAATGATAATAAATGATAAATGCTCAAAAACAAGCAACTCCAGCTGATTCAAATATTCGATCTTTCTAGCAGAATCTAACATTTAGCAACAACTAATCATTTGAAATGCATTTCTGACCCATGCAAATCTTGAACTCTCATAGAAAACGGAAGTTGCACAATCTACGAGTATGCTGAGGAAATAACCCTTTGATCTTGCAATAATCAACTCAACAGATAACGCACCTACAGGGTTCCTCAACCGATCTATCACTATATAAGGAGAAGCCACACCGATCAGCGTGCTAAACACGAAAAGTTATTGCAGACCCAGAGCACGCAGTGATCTTCAGGCGTGTGTTCAAGCTTCCTGGCAATCTATATTAAAGTTTATTGAAATGGAGTACCGAAATTGCACATTGCAAACAATACTTATAATTGTGGCAATCTTACCACTGATATGCTTGGCTAGTGATTCTGACGATCGCTGGCACACATATCGGGCTTCGCCGAGGCTGACTGGACCAGTTAAGCTTCTGCACGATTCTCAGGATGCGACACTGAATTCCTTGGATGAGGCACTGCAGAAGATCTCCACGATCTACATGCATGCCCTGGTCTCTGGCACCCATACACCTGAATTGGAGGCGCCACTGCGAGCCCTCGAAATGGAACTTTTCGATCTGCTCGATCAGTTGTACAAGCAGCATCGGCTCAAGGACTACATGCAGTACGAGGCGGAAGTGACGCGACAAATGATCATCTACAACATGCTCAAGAGATTGTTCGGCTACACCCAGGACAATGGAGAAGGACATTAGAAGGGGCAGGAGTATGAAATGAAAGTGATTGAATAAAGTTGCCAGCTACAAATTGATTTACAGCCCCATTATCCGTTTCCCCTTTGGGTTTTTTACTTACAAATTAGATTTCACTTCCGTAATAGCTTCCGCAACAGCTTGATCCAATCCAATCCTGCAGCTACCTTGCGTGTGGCTGTCGAGCGTCGCATCGCCAGTTATGCGGTGACGCCCCCACCTTCGTTTTCGGATGCCGGATCGGATCCCTCGCCGCTTCTCAGCCCTTCCCACACTCATTCATATTCGAGGCTGCTGCTGCCGCTGCTGTTACCCGATCCAGGCTGTGAGAAAAACAACAACACCTCCCGCGCATAGAGTGTGAGAGGGAAAGAGAGATACAGAATTATGATAATTTTCATTTCCTTTTTACGCTATTATCCTTTTGCATTTCCACATACCGTTGCACTTGTTTCGTGTATGTTTCCCACACATCCTTGAGATCCTTTATCTTTGCTTGTGTTTGCTTTGTGGTTGTTCGCAGGTCTCCTTTGGTTGCTCGACCCTCCCGTCTCGCCTGTTTGCGTTCCACTTGTCTCTACGGATCCTTCGATTTCTTCTCTTTGTGTGCGCTGTGTTTGCTGTGATTTGATGCTGGGACTGGGATCGGATGGGGATGGGGAGGGGATATCCATGGGATAACCATGAATGTGATCCTGTGTGTGTCCGTGTGGCTATCACTCTTATTTCTACTTTTGATTTCGTTTCGTTCTCCGGCTCCACTGTGGGAATCCGAATTTACTTGAATTTTTGTATAATTTTAAGAAGAAGTTCTTGAGGCAAAACAGGTCTTCCATTGTTATCTGATTATATCTTAGCGCCTGTCTTTTTCCTTTGTTTTCGAGTTTCCTAACAACATATTTAATTGTCATTTACCAAATTAACTTGCGAAAATTATCTTAAACATTGTTGGCGAAAATTTTCCCACAGCCAAATTTCTGGGGCCACAATAGAGTTATCCTCGCAAACAACAAAGTCATGCGGTGCTTAGCTGGAATTCTCCCACACACAGATTCCGATCCGGCACTTTGAATATGCCCCTGTGATCCTTTTCCAATTCTTTTTCGCTACAAGAAAAGACTGAACTGAAACATATCCCATCTACCTATCTACCTGTGTGCCTGTGCTCGCTGTGTTTGTGTTGCGCAGCAAATTCAAATCGCTTGCATTTCTCACGCAAGCCGTCTGAATGGACCCAGTTATTCGTATCTTGGGCTCTTTTCTGCCGATTTGGTTTTCTTGTGGGTAACAAGTGTATTCGTATCTACTCGTATCACATCAATAGGCGTGCGATGGCCGTGATTGAACAGCTTTGCGCAACCCCGGCGCATAGGATCTCATCATCATGGGAGATACTTTTCTTATGATGGCTCTCGAAGATGTGAAAATGTATTTCCTTTAGTTTTCTCAGGGATCCAGCAGGTAGACACACTGAAGCGGAAGTAAACCACGCGTCACTCACACTGCTTGCACTCCTTGAAATTGAAATGAAATCCTTTCCCAGGCTAGCAAACTTGTTGGCTTGTTGAATATTTATGTAGTTTATTTTTTTACATTGGTTTTCCAGTTCTCGCACTTTGCTTATGATAATATATTTTATTATTATAGTTTTATTAATTTTTTACATTGTATAATTGTTAAAATTTGGCGTTTTTCTGAGCATTAATCTATACAGGAAATCTCGGTACGGTACGGTTCGGTTCGGTTCGGTTTTGTTCGCTTTGCTTTCGGCTTGAGTTGGATTGAGTTGAAAAGTGTGCAATCTAAATATTGATACGTGTTCATACTCGTATTAGATATACGAGTGTACATACAATAATTGTGTTTAAATTATGTTTTAATGCACTTAATCTATGCATATCGACTATGCAGTTTGTTCGTAGGTTTCTGTCTCTTGATCGTATCGTTCATTCTGTCAATCTTGTGAACACTCTAGTTTAATTTAAATGCATTTTTTGGTCAATCTCAAAAGACGAATTCGTTTCACAACTGTTCGTATTGTATAGTAGGGTTTTGTTTTCTTTTGTTTCGTTAGTTTCGTTCGCTAATTGGCAATGTGGGTTTGGTTGTTTAGTGAGTTCTTCTTCTGAATTGTTTGTTAATTCTGGTGTCTTGTTAAATGTTAACTAGGCTGCTTGTTGGGCAATTAATGTATAAAATATGTACAAAGCTCTCGATAGAACGGGAGCCTCAACTAAGTCTACCAACTACTAAATTTACAGATCCACAAAACGTTTCAGATATACACAATACACAATACAATATATAAAATTCAATTATCAAAAGGCGTTCATTGCTTGTTAGACTTGTAAACGAATGACAAGAAGTATTCCCGGTTAAGGTATATAAGGACATCGCTGGGGGCTGCAAGGCTGCCTGAGTAAGAGCTCTTTGGATGCGGGGCCCACAGGTAAGCCCACAAATTTAAACAATACACAAGACTCAAATTAAAAATTACAATCAAAACAAACAAATAAAATAAAAAAGAGTAAAGCGTTAAAAGTAAAAAGGAAACAAATGTACACAAAAATGTTTACACAAAATTCGTAATATGGCTATGCTATCAGTCCATGGTTCGAGTTCAAATCGGTATTGAGTTTTGGAGTTTTGGGATGTGTCTAGAATTGACTGCGCCTAGCACAGCTCTCGGTCGGAATCATCACTGGTCAATCATCAGAGTATGTCCGGTGTGTGTGTCTCGTCGTGCGTGTGCTGCAGCAGTCCCTTGCGCTCATCCGGTCCCGTACTGTGAGCTATTTCCGTGCTCGCAGGCTCCGCAATGGCGTCCGCATACATCGATTCGTACACGGGATTGGCAAAGTTCCCCTGCAATAGTAAGATTAGGATGTAATGTATAGACTTATAGCACTTGGATTGTGTACGCACCTTATCATCTTCTGTGGAGAATGTAGGCGCCTCATCGGCATCCCCGCGATACATGGCATTGGTGAGCATTATCTCCACGTTGTCCGTCAGACGAGCATGCGAGAACGGCTGAGCTATGCGATGTTTCCTGCAGCAATAAAAGTATATTAGAACCCAACGACCGGGGGTATGGAGACGGAAAACTCACTTGAGGAAATATATGGCACCAGCGAACAGGGCAACGACCAGCGGCGTCACAGACAAAACGACCGCCAATATGGAGAATACGCTGCCCGATTCCGTGGGTTCCTGTTCGCCCTTCAAGGCACCCTCCGCACTGTCCGTCAGACATGGCACCACCTTCTTGGGCCCGCAGAGGCACTCATTGATGGAGCTGCCTGGACGGCACACGTTGCACTCTCCGCCCACGCAATGCGGCGGCAGCTCACAGGCATTGCCCTGCCACTCGCCAATGCAGCTGCAGTGTGGACGGATGTACTCGTCCAGGTGGCAGACGCCCCCGTTGGCACAGTACCGTATGCAGGGATTGTCGTACCCTACGGGCGTGGTGCAGAAGTCTCCGTTCCAGTCGTCCGTGCAGTTGCACATGGCCACGCCCTTGATGACGTGACAGGTGCCGGCATTTTGGCAAATGATGCCCGTGCAGGGATTCCGGATGGGCACCGTCGATGTCTGGCAGAAACGCGGTGGATCAGCAGTTAAGCAGAGATCCATCTCACAGCGCCTGCCATAGTAGCGAGAGGGACAGACGCAGTTCAAGTAGTGGCCACTCTCCGAGCACGTTCCTCCGTTCTGGCAGTAGTCCCGACACGAGGTGGACTCACAGTGCTCGCCGTAGAAGCCATTGGGACACTTGCATTGTCGCTGCCCCTTCGAGCCAATCACGCAGGAGCCGCCGTTCTTGCAGAAGTCGGCGCACTCGTTGGTCTCACACCGCTTGCCCGTGTAGCCGTCGGGACACTCGCATTGCGGCGTTCCGGTCAGCGTCTCGCGACACACGCCTCCGTTTTCGCAAGTGAGATTCAGGCAATGCTCGCACTGCTCACCTATGAACATGTCCGGGCAGCTGCACTTCATGCCCTCCGTTTCGGAGATGAGGCAGGAGCCGCCGTTGTGGCAACGGCTCTGGCAGGCCGGCAGCGAGGTCTCGCAACGAGCGCCCGACCAGCCTGGCGTGCAGGTGCACTTGAGTGGCGGCGCATCTAGTGATCCCGGCAGCTGTGGCGCCACCGTGCACAGTCCGTAGTTGAGGCAGTGGCCGGAGCAGCGATAGTGTTCGCACAGTTCGCCCTCGAACTGCGGCTGGCAGATGCATTTGGGCACGTGATCCACGATCTGGCAGGAGCCCAGGTTGCACTGCAGCGGACAGTAGTCGGGCACATCGGCGTGAGCCTTGCATATTCCCTCATCGGTCATCACATAGCCCTCGGCGCACTTGCAGCTGTAGCCGCTGGCCGTCTCGGAGGAGAGAATGCAGAGTGCCTTCGAGGTCTTGCAGGGATCCTTCAGGCAGGGATTGCTTACTGCAAAAATGAATAAAGATGAAGACTTTTCTGTTAAATGTTGCAAGATCCGACACTCACTGTTTCGATTCTGTTTCATGGGATGTAATATGCCAATGTCCGAAGAGCGATAGCCCTTCAGCAGGTAGGTGCCGTTGTCGTTGCCGAATTTGTTCATCTTGATGATGCTCTGATCGTACAGCTTGATGTACAGATAGTCCTCAAAGACATCTATCTTCTGCGGCTTCTCGCGATTGCCGAAGCGTCGCACAACATTGCGATCCTTGCCATTGAGGCGGCATGTCTCGATTGTGCCTTTGCGGTAATCCGCCCAGTACAGTCGACCCGTCGGATAGTCCATCGAGAGGCTGATGGGCCAGCCCACGTCACGCTCCACCAGACTCTTCTTGTTGCTGCCATCGAGGGAGGCCACCAGAATGCCATTCTCCAGCGTGGACCAGATCATAATACGCGATTCTGGCTCCAGGACAATGTCCGTGGGATTCGTGCCGGTTGACACCAGCGAGATGTACTTCTTGCCCTCAATATCTGTGGCTAGGATTTGATTGTGCCGCGAATCGATGATGTACACGCGCTGAGTAATCCAGTCCACGGCCAGAGACTTGGGATCATCGAGTTCTGGGATCTGCAAGGTAAGAGAAAATGCGATTAAAACCAAGCAAGAGGAAATTCCGCAATCAAACTCACATTAAATGCCGTCAACTCTTTGAGATCACGACGTACACGAACGCCCGCACCCTCCACGTGGGGCGTGGCAATCTTCATGGTGTGCACCTTACCGTGATGGGAGTCAATCCAGAAGAGCAGCGTGTCCTTGGGCCTGATGAGTATGTCAAACACATCGATCTTCAGGCTGTCTGTCTGGAAAAAGCCCACCACAGTGGTGCCCTCCTGCTTGGAGGGCAATATGAAGCGGAACTCCTGCTCGGAGGCCAGCAACAGAATCTGATCCGGCCCAGAGGCCAGGCAGGTGGCATTCTTCTCCGCCCCCTTGTGATAGCCCTCAGCGCACTTGCAGTTGAAGTGTCCCGCCTTCTTCTCGATGCAAATCTGAGAGCAGGTGCCAAAGCCACAGACCGGTGGCTGGCAGTTCATCTCATCGGAGCCATCGATGCAGTTGTATTGGCCGTCGCAGCGGAAGATCTTTGATATGCAGTCATCGTTCTCGCACTGGAACTGATCGTGTCGGCACTTGGGCAGCGCGGCACACACCTCATCCGACTCGTCCTCATTGGTGCCGCAATCGTTGACGCCATCACAGAGCGCCGAGTTCCGTATGCAGATCAGATTGTTGCACTTGAAGGCATTCGTGTGGCAGTGCACATGGGCACAGGTGGCATAGCTCTCGTCGCTGCCATCCAGGCAATCGTCCCAGCCATCGCATTTCCACCTCGACATGATGCACTTGCCATTGCCGCAGCTAAAGTGATCCGCCGGACAGGTGCAGTTCACCTCGTCAGAGCCATCGGGGCAGTCGTCATCTCCATCGCATTGATATTGCCTGAAAGCAGATAGAATACATTTCCGAATCTGTTGGGACTCATTTGCTGTTTGCTACTCACTTGTTGATGCACGTATTGAAGGCTGCACACTTGAACTGATTCGCCTTGCAGGTGATGTTGCAGTTGATCTCGTCGCTGCTGTCATCGCAATGTATCTCCCCATCGCAGCGGTAATTGTGCTTGATGCACTTCCCCGTGCCGCAGCGGAATTCGCTCTCCGAACAGTTCCTCATCTGGCAGTTGAGTTCGTCGCTGCCGTCACCGCAATCGTTCTCGTAGTCGCAACGCCAGCGTCCGGGTATGCACTTGGAGTTGTTGCACTTGAAATATGTGGGATCGCAGGTGACCTTCGAGGTGAAGCAGCTGGCGGGCTCATCCTCACCATTCGGACAGTCGTGTTCGTCGTCGCAGCGCCAAGCCAAAGGAATACAGCGACCCGAATCGCATCTAAACAAATGAATCAAAGACTAATTTAGTTAGCAAAAGGATCTCCCTTGGTTGATATTCTGTTTACTCACTGGAAATCGTTGGGTCCACAGGAGACATTGTCGCAGTTCGCTTCGTCGGACTTGTCCGGACAATCGATGTCGCCATCGCACACCCACACGTAGGTCATGCAGCGGTTGTTGCCGCACTGGAACTCATCCTTCTTGCAGACCAACGGCGTGCATCCAGCCTCATCCTCGCCGCCAGGACAATTCTTAACCCCATCGCAGCGCTTTACATTGTCCACACAGAAGGCGCTCGAGTTGGCGGTGGCTCCGCACTTCAGGTGCGTGTCGAAGCAGGTGAACTTGTCGCAGTTCAACTCATCGGAGCTGTCGCCGCACTGGTTGACGCCGTCGCAGATGTGCGACGGATGGATGCACTTCTTATTGCCGCACTGATACTGCCCCGGTTCGCAGTGGAAGGGCGGACAGGTGTCCGGCTCGTCGCTGCCATCGCCGCAATCGTCCTGCGTGTCGCAGCGCCAGTAGAACGGAATGCACTTGTACGTGTTCACGCACTCAAAGTGGGCGGCCGTGCAGTTGGCGCGGCAGGTCCGTCCGTCGTCGGCCAGTATGAAATTGGTGGGGCAGATGCACTTGTAGTAGGGCGCCTCCGGGGAGAGTACGCAGAGCGTGGAGCAGTTGGCCGAGAGGCAGGGATTGCCGCTGACGGGCTGCTGCTGGCGGTACGGATGGAAGACGCGCAGATCCATAGGCCGATGGATGGTGGTGAGCAGCGTGGAGCAGTTCTGTCCGCTGTACATGTGACAGTACTCGATGGACTTGGTCTCCCAGTCGGACCAGTAGATGCGACCCTCCCACACGGCAATGGCGAAGATGTGGTGCAGATTGAGGCTGGGATTGAGGCTCCTTGCCAGCAGCAGTCGCGTGTGATTGCCATCCAGATCGCTCACCGAAATGGTATCCTCCCGGGCATCGCCCCAGAAGAGCTGCTGCGTCTCAAAGCTGATGGTCAGGGCATTGGGCCAGCCGAGATTCTCGCGTATGATCATCCGCGGATTGGAGCCATCCATGCCGGCCTTGCCAATGTGCGGATTGTCGCCCCAGTCCGACCAGAAGATGTGACGCTGGTATGGATCCAGGGCGATGCCTCGCGGCTCCCGCAGATACTCGCTGATCAGCACCTTGCGATACTTTCCATCCATCTGCGACACCTCGATGGTGTCCAGACCCTTGTCACACCAGTAGAGATTCTTGGCCACCCAGTCGACGGCCAGACCGTCGGGATTCTTGAGCATTGTCTGATGCAGCGTTTGGGTCTTGTTCTCCGCCGGACAGTAGCGCTTGATGGTGCCCACAGTGCTGGTCACATCCGACCAGTACAGGCACTGACTCTCCCAGTCAAAGTCCAAGGCCACGGCATTCGACAGCTCGTTGATCAGGATGGTGCCGTTGCCTTCCATGTTCACCTGCCGTATGTAGTAGCGGTTCGAGAAGATCAGCTCCATGGACACATTGCTAGTGGCCTTGCAGGTGTGATGATCGACCAGGGCATAGCCCTTGGCGCAGATGCACTTGTAGGATCCGTACGTGTTGATGCACGTCTGGGAGCAGGGCTGCTGCTCGTGGCACTCGTCAATGTCCGTGCACAGGTGCGGACTCTTGGGCAGCAGCTTATAGCCAGGACGGCACAGACACTCGTAGCCCACCACCTTGTCGACGCACTCGTGCTCGCAGATGTCCGGTATGAGGCACTCGTTCACATTGCACAGCTCCTCGTCCGAGAAGTCGGCGCAGTCGTTGCGCCTGTCGCACAGCAGATCCGCACTGATGCAGGCCCCGTTCTTGCAGCGGAAGTCGTCGGTGCCGTTGCAGCCGCGAGTGTGCGCGCACAGGCTGGCCAGCTCATCCGAGCCATCGCTGCAGTCCATCTTGCCGTCGCACGTCTGATTCTTGAGTATGCAATGCCCGTCCTGGCACTGATGCATCAGCGTGCCGCCCGGACAGGAGTGCTGCTGGAAGGCCGGTTCACAGCCCTCGTACTCGTCATCGCCCCCAGGACAATCCTCGTCGCCATCGCAAACGTACTGCGAATCGATGCAGAGACCTGCCGGAGGAGAAGATTGTTAAATAAATCAAATTTGAGCAACCGATAAACCACTTACCACTGGTGCAGAGATGCGCTGGCGGTGGACAGTCGGGAATGTGGGCAATTCCGCCACATTGGGGGCCCTCATCCTCGCCCCCCTGGCCATTGCTGCCAATGGGACAATCGCGCTCGCCATCGCACACCCACTTTTGGGTGATGCAGCGGCCGGAGCTCTTGCACTGGAACAAATGGGGGCGACACGCCCGACTGGAGCACTGCGGGCCCTCGTCGGCATTGTCCTCACAGTCGCTCTTGCCATCGCATTGCCAGCTGGCTGGAATGCAGCCATTGTCGCAGGCAAACTGATTGCCATCGCAGGCACGGCGGCAGCCCAGCTCGTCGCTGCCATCGGGACAGTCCTTCTCGCCATCACAGCGCCAGGAGCCGGCAATGCAATTGCCGCTGGCACAATGGAACTGATCCTCGTCGCAGCTGGTGCGATTGCTGCAGTCCAGCTCGTCGGTGCCATCGGGACAGTCAGGATCGCCGTCGCACCGCCAGCTGGGCATGATGCAGATGGTGCTGTTCTCGCAGTGCTCGAAGGCCACGTCACCGCTCTCGCAGGGGCGCGGGGAGCAGGATTTCTCGTCGCTAAAGTCACGGCAGTCCTTCATGTTGTCGCAGAGGAACTTGTTCGAGATGCACTCGCCGCTGCCGCAGCGGAACTGATCCGACTGGCAGGAGCAGAGCATGGCAGACTCGTCGCTGCCGTCGCCACACTGCTGTATGCCGTCGCAGGTGTGCTCGTGTGAGATGCAACGATGGTTCTGGCACATGAAGTGCGTGTCCGGGCACTGCCGGAAGATGCAGTAGCTGCGCAGCTCATCCGATCCGTCCAGGCAGTGGGTCACATTGTCGCACGTCAGCTCCATGGGTATGCACTCGCCGGAGCGGCAGGTGAACTGCGTCTTGCCGCAGTTCGTATTTGCGGGCGCAATGCAGCGACGTCCGTCTGGTGCGAGGACACCCTGGGTGCAGTGGCAGCTGGCCAGCCCGCTCTTGTTCAGGATGCACACATCCTCGCACTGTCCGTTAAGTATCTTGCACCGATTCGCCTCACAGTTGATGCTGCTGTTCTGCACCGCAATGATGCCCATGGGCCGCGTGACATGTTCGCGCAGGAAGAGGACATCGGTGCCGGTGTACTTGTTGGCCCGCACCACCGCATGCAGCACCCAGTCCGTCCAGAACAACAGATCCCCGTAGACGGCCATGGCAAAGGCGTGCTTGGGCGTGGAGTGGGCGAGCACCACGCGATTGCTGCCATCGTAGTTGGTGCACTCGATCTTGTCCAGCCGCGCATCGGCCCAGTACAGCTTTTGCTCCTCGAGATCCAGGGTTAACGCATTCGGCATCTTGATGTCACTGCGAATGATCCGCTCGGTGCCATAGCCTGTCAGATAGGCGCGCTGTATGCTGGGCGACTCCTCGTTCCAGTTTGTCCAGTAAATCATACCCAGGCAGGGCTCCACGGTGATGCCGCGCGGCTTGTCCTTTGGCTGCAGACTCAGCACGGTCTTCACATGCTGCAGATTCCGCTCCGGCCGCTGGGAGAGATGTATCAGCTCGAGGCTACGCACTGCCGCATCATTGTTGGATGTCCAGAAGAGCTGTTCGTTGACAATGTCGTATGCTAGGCCCTCCACACGTCCCTGCTGTGCGACGAGCACGCGCTGTCCGCTGCCATTGAAGTGCACCTGATTGATGGTGCTCAGCTGCACGTCCGAGTAGTAGACCAACTGCTCCTCGTAGTTGTACGTAATGGCAATGACGTTGCGCATCATGCTCGTGTTCGAGATGAGCTGCACGGGCCAGTTCTTGTTCGCGTGCTCCGTCATGTGGATGCTCTCGATGTTGCTGCGGTAGCTGAACAGCAGAAAGTTCTCGTACGGCTCGCAGCTCAGCCCGTCCGCTGCCAGGTGGCTGTGCGCACAGGCACACACCACACTGGTGCCATTGTACAGGCACAGCTGCTCGCAGCCGCCGTTGCTCTGCTCACACGGATTGCTGCCCCGTTGGATGCGCTTCGAGTAGATCTTCAGGTCTCGTATGGCATCCTGCTCCGTCTGCAGCACGAGCTTCGATTGCGTGAGATTGGAGAGCGGTGCCACTCGGATGGCTCCCTCGTTGTACATGTTCTCCGCCCAATACAGATAGTCCCCCATCTTGGCCAGTGCTACCGGATTGTTGAGCGTCTCGTTGAGTAGCTGCTGGCGCAGATTGCCATCGTAGTCGACCTTCATGAGGGCATCCGGATGCTGTTCGCACCAGTACACCTTGGTGGCCTCAATGTCCAGGACGAGGCTGCCTACCGCCCAATTGGTGCGCGTCTGGTTGACCAGCACAAACGGCTGACTGCCATCGAGGCCAACACGTCCAATGTGCTGCTGTGTCACATAGAAGAGCAGCCCCTGCAGCGGATCCACGGCGAGGCAGGTGGGCTTCTCCACATTGGAGACCACCACATACCGATGGCTGCCATCCAGGCGCGACACTTCGATCAGATTGCGCTTCGTGTCGCTCCAGTAGATGTTGCCAGCCACCCAGTCGATGGCAATGCCGCCCAGCCAGTCCTGTTGCTTGTACCCCGCCAGATTGATGGCCTCCAGAATGGTCTCCCTCTGTGTTCCGTCGCGCTTCACACGCGAAATGCTGCCCACCTCATTGTCGCCCCAATACAGAGTGTCCGTGGCGGCATGGTAGTCGATGAAGCTCGCTGAACTGACCCGCGAAATGGGCACCAAAGCCTACGGAAAAAGCGCAAAGAATTAGCTTTTGTTCATTGCTAAGCGAAAGGAGAGAATTCCCTACCGATTTTGGTGGCGTTGGCTGATCCGCTGGATCAGTAATCTCCACGCCTTGCAGCACATCAATCGAGTAGAAGATGAACTCTGCCCGCGGTATGCAACGTGTGGGGTTATGTGGCTCCACATCATAGCCAAGGGCACAGCGGCAGACATGCTCCGTGGCGGAAGTGGCCAGGCACAAATGCTCACAGCCACCGCGCAGGGGTCCGGCACAGGTGTTGGTGCCTGTCTGGGCATCCGCATAGAACATTTTCATGCTCTGAATGCTCTCTGCAAAAAAAATCAATCAAGAGTTTAGTCATTCATGGAAGAGATTTGATTTTTAGTGGAGTTCCTACTTGTGTTGACCCTCAGGAAGGACATGTTGGAGCAGGCCTCCTTCTCGCAGTGCATAATCACGCTCTGAATGTTCTCGGGAAAGTACAGGGTGCCATTGTACACGGTCAGCGAACTGATGGACGTTATCTGGCTGGCCACCAGCACCTTGTGCGTTTCATTCCTGGGTATATCGTAGTACGCAATGCCCGAGTTATCGTAAGCGTAGTACAGTCGCTGCGAATCAAAGTCCATGGTGAGACTCTGCAGCGCATTCTCGTGCTCATAGATCAGCAGTCGGCCCGAGCCATCCAGATTCGATTGCTCCAATTGCCACAAGCTGGCATCCGGTGCAGAATGAAGCCAATACATTTTTCCACTGGAACAGCAGAGAGGTAGAGAGTCGTTTAGAAGTTTGCTCCATGCAGATGGAGGGTAAAGCGTCACTTACTTGGCTGGATCGAGGACAATGCTATCCACCATATTGAGATCCTCGTGAATGTGCGCGACATACTCGCCCTTTAGATTGCTTGCGAGTATATTGCAACGGATCTGGCCCGAGGAGAAGTACATGTGCCTGGCTATCCAATCGATGGCAAAGCCATAGGGCTTCTCGATGTTTGTATTGATGATGGGTTCGATGAGGCCATTGGATATGCCAGCGCTGGATATTTCATTTTGCTGAATATCCGACCAAAAGATGCGCCCCTCGTCCACCAGGAAATCAATGCGTTGCGGTGCCACTAGCTGTGGATACATAAAGATTGAGAAATAGAGATTCATTATCTATGTCTCAGCGTACTCACCCTTGGGGATTGCCGTATGGTGGGGATTGTATGATGATTTGGCTGCTGTAGATCAATGCCACGTATCTCATCGAAAATCACAAAGAGCAGCACCTCCTCATTGGGCACACAATTGCGCTCATCGCTCGGATCCAGTCGCATCACGTGCGGACACTCGCACTTGAAGGTTCCCCTGCCGCTGAGCAGGCACAAATGCGAGCAGCCGCCGTTGTTGTCGCCACAGGGATTTCGCTCCCATGGCTGGCGACTGGAGTGGAGCACCTGTATGCCAAATGGCTGGGATTGGGTGCGCTGCAGCACCTGCACATCGCTGCCGTTCCACTTGTTGGCACGAATCACAGACGTAGTCCGCCAATCCGTCCAGTAAACGTAATTCTCAAAGACCGATATGGCAAACGGATGGGAGAGTATGTCCGGCTGCCGGAGCACCACATGATGCTCGGAGCCATCGTACTTGATGCTGCTGATCGACTTGGACTTGGCATCCACCCAGTAGACACGCTTCTGCGTAAAGTCCAGGGTCAGGCCGTTGGGCCAGCCGGTGCTCAGCTGCCAGCTGGTGGATATGATGCGTCTGCCCTCGCCAGCCATCGACGCCCGCTCGATCCTCGGTGAATTGTCATCCCAGTCGGTCCAGAAGAGCAGGCCCTCGCGTGGATCCAGCGCTATGGCACGTGGACTCTCCATGTTGCCCGCAATGAGGGTGCGCCGGAAGCTGCCGTTCAGTTTGGCCACCTCGATTTGGTCCAGATTCGAGTCGATCCAATAGAGATTCTTGCCCACCCAGTCAACGGCCAGTCCCTCGGTGGTGGAGAGGCCCGAATGGATGACAGCCTCCACATTGCGCAGACTCTCGCCCACCAGCTCTCCCCTGTAGATCTTGTCATCGATCACATCCGTCCAGTAGATCTCCACACTCGACTCGTTGCTGTACAGAAAGTCCAGGGCAATGATGTTCCTTAGCGACGTGTACAACGTGCCCACAGCCATGGTCTTCAGGTTGATGCCCTTAATGTCCTGCCGATTGGTGAATATCACGAACGCTTCGTCGGGTGCGGTGCTCTTGCAGGTGAATTTGTCGTAAGCGAGATCGAAACCCTCCAAGCACCGACAGTCGTAGCCCTTGCCGTTGGTCTGGCACACCTGGGAGCAGGTGTCCCAGTGATCGCAGGCATGCTGCATGTTGCAGCGCTTGCCATTCGGCTGCAGGAACAGATGATCCGGGCAGGAGCAGATGTAGCCCTCGGGCGTGTTGTGGCAGTTGTGGGAGCACTCGTGGCCATGCTCGCACAGCTTATCGGCGCACAGAAAACCCTCGTCGGTGGTGTCCTCGCAGTCGTTCTTGCCGTCGCACAGCTGTGCCACGGATATGCACTGCCTGGAGAAGCCGCACACTCGATCCGGATGCTCACAGATCACCGTCTCGTTCATGTCGAACTTTGTCGCGTGTATCGTCGTGCAGTTGGACTCGTCCGTCTTGTCGTAGCAGTGCGGTATGCCGTCGCAGCGCAGGAAGTCCGGTATGCACTCGAATGGATCTTGGCAGGCAAACTCAAAGGCTGCACACTCTCCGAGCTCCTTCCATCCGCTCACTGGGTGATTGTCGCTCTTGGTCTGATTGCAGTTGGCCTCGTCGCTAAAGTCCTCACAGTCGTGGATGCCATCGCACATGTGCATCTCCCCATAGCAGCCGATGGGCCGGCAATACTTTTCGCCATGTCCGCACTCCTGATCGCAGCCAAATTCATCAATGTTGTTCCTTACAAAAGGGATTAGGATGAGCAAAATGGCCAGCAGCAGTCAGTAAATCATCGAAAACTCACCCACAATTGTCGATGCCGTCGCACACGTCGGTAAATTGACGGCACCGCCCGTTGCCGCAGTCAAATTCCGGGCACTTGCTGCCAAAGAAAATCTCCGACGACTCGTCTGAGTTGTCGTCGGGGCCACAGTCAACGACGCCATCGTTGACCCACGTCATCTGTATGCAGCGTCCGCTCTTGGCGCAGGTGAACTCGTTGCTGTTGCAGGTGCTGTGCTCGCAGTTCGCCTGATCCGAGCCGTCCGAGCAGTAGGCAATGGAGCTGCAGAGCAGCGAACGCTGATAGCACCGCCCGTTGCACACAAAATTGTGATCCTTGTCGCAGTTCTGGGGATTGCAGGGGCCCGTCGCATCGCTGCTCTCGTCGCTGCCATCGCTGCAGTCATCGAAACCGTCGCACAGATCCTTGCTGTCGATGCAATCACCCGATTTGCGGCACTGGAAGGCCGACGAGCAGTTGCGACGCCCCGGAGCGGCCACCGTTGAAGGCGCCAGCTGTGGTATGCAATGGGTGCCAGTTCCGTTGAGGGTGAAACCATCCGGACAGCGGCATATCGCTCCTTTGGGCGTATTCAGACACATGCCCGGACACTTGGACTGCGAGCAGGCGCTGGGTGTCTGTGGCAGCGGTTGCGTGGCCACATCAAAGACTCGCAGATCCGCCGACAGTCCACTCGTCTGCAGATGCACCGTGGAGCTGAACGTGCTCGTCTGATTGCCATGATGCACATGGAAGCGCCAGATGCTCGAGTTCCTGGTGCCCACCCAATAGATCATGCCGTTGTGCTGCACCATAGAGTAGGGATGGAACTGATCCGACTGGAAGAGCACTTCCCGTGACGTGCCATCCAGTTTCATGCGCTCAATGGTCCCGAGCAGCGAGTCGCACCAATAGATGCGCTTGCCACGTCGATCCACATCGAGGCTGCGCGGCCAATGCATTGCCATCTCGGTGGTGCCCTTGGCCAGCAGCTCCTTGTGCGTGCCATCCATCCAGGTACTGTAGATGCCCGCCACACAGGTCTGAATGGACCATTGCGACCAGTACAGCAGTCCCGTGTTGGGATCCAGTTCAATGGACCTGCAAGACATTACAAAAATTAATCATTTTGTGTGGAATAAAGGCAGATGTTCTACACTCACATTGCATCGCACTCGGTGGCAAATGTCAGCACTTTGCTCATGTTTCGGAGCGGTGCAACATGCAGCTGAAGATTGGTGGCCCAATATAAGTGATCGTTGATCCAATCGTAGGCCATGGCATGCACCCGCTGGAGGCCATGGGCCAGCTGACGGGACACACTGCCATTCAGTGACTGACACTTGATGCTGAAACTGGGCTCAAATTCCACATCCATTGAATCCAGATCGATGGCATCGCGCACCACATAGAACACCGACTTGCCCCGCACATTCACATCGATGGTCTGGCCAATGGACGCATTGTAAATGGGCACCATCAAATCGGGCTGCTCGCCGAGCTGCTCCAGCTGCTGCACCTGCTCCGTGCCCAGGGGCACACCAGTGATGCGGCCCAATCGCGTATCACTGTACACCAGGAATTTGTCGTGGGCGGCCAGCAGGCAGGTCGTCTGATTGTGCAATTTATAGCCGGCCGTGCACAGGCACTTGGCGCTGGCAAATCCCCGCGTCCACATAGGCACACAGATCTGATTACAGTCGCCATTGTTCTCGCGACACGGATGCGCCACCTCGGGCTGCTTCTGGCGATGGTAAATACGAAAATTTGTCGCTCGCGTCACATTCCGTCGCAGCAGTTGGCTCTTGTGGGTGAATCTGTCGAGGCTGACGATGACATTGCCCGTCCAGGGCGACAAATAAATTGTGTTCTCAAACACCTCGATGGCCTGCAGGCTCCTCAGCAGCACAGGGGACTGCAATCGATGGGGCATTGGGGGTAGAGTAAACCTCAATTGAATCGACTTGAAATCTTACGTGTGGGAACTTCTTGAGGGTCCAACGATGCTGGCCCTCGTAGTCGACACGCTCGATCACATCCTCGTAGACGTCCACCCAGTAGACATGCTGATTGGCCAGATCGAGGCACACGGTATTCGGATGATAGATGTGCGCGGTGACCAAAGCGGTGCGATTGCTGCCATCCAGCAGGGAGCGGGACAAACTGGGCGTACGATCCGTGTAGAACATGTAGCCCTTGGTGGGGTCCAGGGCCAGCGATTCGGGATCCTTCACTTGCTGCAGTATCTGACGGCAAAAGGTCATCGTATTCGTGCAGAAGAACACGTCCTTGTTCAGCAGATACCAATTACCAGTTATCCAGTCGAGATGCAGCTCCAAAAATGCTGCAAGCAAAAAGGAAAATTGGATCACAAATATGGCTCACAATCTGGGCTCTGGACTCACATTGCTTGGGGGAGATGAGCGGGGAAAAGGGCAGCGTCCAATTGTCTTTGGGTTCATCGATGCGCTGGCAGTGCAAACGCAGCTCGTGCCTGCTGCTGTGAAGGGCGCAGATTGTCCGGTTTCGGTGCCACACCTCGAAGGCCTGCGCCTGGGGCATTGTCAGCGTGGCAAGCAATCCTCTCGTTGCCTCCTCCTTACTCGCATTCGATGGGAGCTCCAGCAGAGATATGTGCAGTATGGATCCATTGGAAAAGAGCATCAGCGTGGCTGGCTCGGCAGTGGGTACTATAAATTAAGTAGGGAGGGGATTAGCTTGCAGCTACCAATTACCCTCGCACACTCCCCTTGGGGGATATACACACCATTGATGGCCCGACAGCGTCCGCCCTTAATCTTGTCGTAGCCCGAGACGCAGGAGCACTCGTAGGAGCCGGGTGTGTTGCGGCAGAGCTGGTCACAGGTGCCCAACTCCTGGCACTCGTCGTGATCCACGCACCTTGTGGAGTTCATCGACTCCGGGACCTGACCCCCGGGACAATAGCAGCGCGGACCATGCGGCGTCAGCTTGCAGTTGTAGCTGCAGTTCATGGCTGCGCAGGCAGCGTCTTGTTTATCTGTTTTGGAGGGGATTTTGACCAGAGAGAGAATGAGCCAATTAACTGCAGTTTTCCCTTTTGGCTGCTGGCTGTTTGGCTCTTGGCCACTTACCACATTGCAGCTCATCGCTATCACAGTCCCAGTGGCCATCGCAGAAGCGCGACAGCTCCAGACATTCCCCATTGTGGCATTCTCCCTCGAAAACGCGGCACTGGAGTGCCTGAGCATCGGTACCTGGTGGAGCAAAAGGGGAGTGGAGAGTTTCGGTTCAAAAAGAGTGCATTTGAGTGGTGCTCCTTTTGGTGGGACTTTACTTACAGTTCACTTCATCGGTTAAGTCCCCGTCGCCACAGTCATACTCCCCATCGCAGCGCCAGGTTTCGGGTATGCATTTGAGGCTCGGCGCGCAATGGAATTGTCCCTCGTTGCAATAGGGACCCAGCAGGACTGTCGCTGCTGCAAACAGAGAGGGAGAGAAAATAGTGCAGGATTAAGTACTTGGACACAACCGTGCAATAACAATAACCGAAAATGAAGATTTATGAACGAGGTAGGAGGATGCTTTTGTGGTTTGCTTTTGGGGGGACACTGCACTTCTGCACTCCTGGCTTTGCTGCAAATCTTTTGAATTATATACCAAGGAGAGGCAGCAAAGGTTGCTATAAATTAATGTGTCAATGCAGGTGCATTCAAGGGTAGAGAACCCACCCATAGAGGTAGTGGGGAAAGTGCATTCAAATGGAGAAAAATAGTCACAATTACTGAGTTTGATTTCATCCATTTCAAAGCGGGAAAAATGCAATACGCTTTGCCCACTCCATTCATTCATTCATTTTCCACTTTCATTTATCCAAAAAGTTTCTTTTAATTAGCTCTGCGCTTATTTTTGTTCTCTTTTATGTTCCTTTAAAGAGGGCCCTGCAAAAACGCTGTTAATTTTGTTTTTTTTTTGTTCTTTTTTTTTGGTTAACTTTTGTTTCCAGTTGAAGGCACTCCCCAGCGGCACTTGCAAATGTTTAACAATTGCCCTATAACATCATTTTGGAGCACATTTTCGGGGGCATTTTACGAGTTGATTAAATAAATGCCTGGACTCCAATCCACTCCACTTGGGGGCTGGCGGTCCAGCCACTCTTTGGGGATGCTTCACTGCCAGCCTTGACAGAATTTTTCGCTACAGTTTCACAAATGGCAAATAAAAAATTTAAACTTTCTCGCTGGACCGACGGTGTCCGCATGCCCTTGGGCTTATTATGTAGCTGCCTCGTGCCTCATGCCTCTTATTGCCCCATGCAAATTGCCACGCAAATACGGGACGGAACAACGAAAGACATGGCGGACATGGCAACATGGCTGCCAGCCATCCTCCAATTCCTGTCTCTGGAGTTTAACCTCTTGGCAGTTGGAATATTTTTGGCCGTTCCCATGTGTCGCCAATGTGGCTTTTATGGTTATAGTCGCGCATGCCGTGGATCACCACCTCTCCCCCTGGAACAACATCCAATCCAATGTACTACCCATCCAATTCGTTGTCATGGCTTGGGCTTGGCTTGTCATTGTTGCCTTTGATTTCAACGTGCGATGGTGTTGGGTCTGGCTGGCTTGGGTTCGCGACGTTATTTGAATTCTTTTTCACAAATTGTTCCTTTCTTTTGTGCCACAAGCAATTTGCATCCTCCCAAAAAGGAAGATATTTTCCAATACATACAAATAGAGTGGTGGCAAGAAGAGCCAGGAAAATATTATTATATTGCTGGCGAAAGTTGTAAGGAATGAACTTGCCTTTTCCAATGGGGACAATTTTATAGACTCCTTCTAGACTGGTGGCTCTTGTAGGTCACATTCGTTGCACAAATATCCCATAAGCGATGGTCTACTTTCGTTTCGAGTGACAGCATATATTCCTCTGTTTATATTCAATAAATGTTACCCATGAAACTTAACTTATTCGTGTAAAAAAAATCACTAGGCAAAACTTTTGTGTCGTTTGTGTCGCAACGAGGCCATTTTAAGTGTGATATACGTAGTATCAAGAGACAAACTTGCTCGAGTATGTACATATATGTAGAGTAGATACATATATATGACAACACTTTATAAAACTTTGCCACCGCTTAGGGTTGGTGGTTGGGGGGCTGGGGGGGAGGATGTGATAGTGAGTGTTTCGAGTGTTCTCTGAGTGCATTCGCAGTTCACTTTAATTGAAATTGCGAGCAGAGGCGAGCAAAGGCGACGGCCTGGAAGACTGGTGATGAGGAGCGTTGGCGGGGGGTGCCCCTGTTTGGCAAATGGCGGGAATGATGATGGCAACGATGTGCCATGATGCCAGGCACATTTATTATAATCTGTTGCATTAATATTTGCCGACAATTTGTCGTCTGTTCTGTCACTCCCCTATCCCCTTGCTCTTTCACTCTCTCTCTCTCTCTCGTGCGCTTTCTCTGTTGCTCTGTTTTTATCTCCATCTCTGGCACTGCTGCAGTGCCATAAAAATTAAATTAAAAACGCCAGAGAAGAACTCTCTAGGCCAAACCATCAGCAGCAACAGCAACAGCAACAACAGCAGCAGCAATTGTTGCAATTCTCACATTTTCTTGTTTTTATTGTGAAAAGACAGCAGCGGCCAGCCAACGGAAATTACACTTTTGGAGCCACTGAGACTGTGGATACACTGGCAGATACTTAGCAATATTTCTAAACCTCTATCACACAGTGTTCACTCGCTCTCATGATATTTGTTCGACTCTAGCTGTGTACTTGGGTCTAGATATATTTTTACATCCTTTCTCATCTCGCAACACAAACACATCCCAACATATGCCAAATGATAATACCCCGTCTGCAGAGTATATTCAAAAGAAATGTCTACACATTAATTTAGTGGAGGGGGTTGAAGTGGACGCCACAATGCCACAGTCATGTGGCTTTTTATCCCTGTTCCTGCTCCTGCTCCTGCTTCTGCCCCTGCCGCAAAGTCAACGAAAATCCAGGGCAGACGCTTGAATTTTGCACTGACATTCAAAACAGTGTTGGCTTTTAAAGTTCAGGGGCTTTCAATTTTCGTGCAGTTCCAGCCTACAATGGTTCAGGCCACTAATTGCATTTGCCATGGTCTCCCGCGTCCTCCGACCCCACCGGTCACGCGTTTCGCTTCAGCCCAGAAGGCTATTTGGGCGGGTGGGAAGGAAAGTGCTTTGCCTAGCATTTTGTGGGTTTTTAGGAGACCATCAGCAGCACGCGCCCCGCCTGCACCTGTCATTAGGCCATCAGACAGACAGGGGCCACAAAAAAAAACTGCAAACCAAACAGAGGAAAACCCATAATAAACCAATCACCTGCTGCTAATGTCCCCAGAGAGAGCGTGGGGAGAGGAGCGGTGAGTGGAGGGGAGTGGTTTTGAGTGGGGTTTTTGTGGCCATCTCATTGGAGCCGAGTCCAAGCCACACAAACATCGAATCGGTATGCAGGCAACGGACCAACGAGCCATCGTTGCCTGCCACATAGTATGGAAAATACAATCAGACAGATGATGGAATAATGGTCACTCCTCGGAGTGCAATGGGAAATGGGGCAGGCTTTACAGAGGGAGCCACAGGCAGGACATGCAGTACAGGAGTCGAGAGCATGCAAATTCTTGTGCGAGCCCTAAAATGGCAATAGAATTCAATCAATCCCACAGCCAATGGCCCACAGATAACCATAACGAGTAATAACCATTTAAAGGGTGAAAATGTATGCAAAAAGTCTTTACAGCCAAAAGATGATTTGTAATCAATGCTAATAATTGGCATAATGACAGGCAATTAGCTGCAGAAGCCATAATGGAAATTCGAATATTAATTAATCATATTTGCCATAGAGATATTTCCTTTTGCGGAATGGCTGCTCTTTCCAATTATTTATGCATTTTCTTTCCCAATCAATGGATTTATTATTGTGTGTAATTTATTCAGTATTTATGCGAATTTCATAACCAAACACAAACCACAGATTTTCCATTGATTTTTCGCTAATGCTGAAAGCCCCAAAAAACAACATGCGAATGCGATGAGCCGCACAAATAGTTTTATTTTACCCCTCCTTACTTTAATATTCTACTCAGCCTCTGGCTCAGTCCCTCCTCTGTGGCTATGGTAATATTTTGAAAATATTCCAATGTTTATGCAGTTGCTGGCCCCTGCCCCTTGCCCGCTGTGGTACGTGGCAGTACGTGCCCACAATTAAACATTAAACATCAACCCGAAAGAAGAACTGTACAGAATGTCGGCCAACTGTCGGCCAAGTTGAAGTACGTGACTTTGGTACATTGCATCATTAGAGCCCCCGGGAGTCTGCAGCTCTTCAGTCCGTTGGGGGTTCGTAGGAGGTTCGTTAAACAATAAAAAACTAATTTAAATTTGCTTAGAGCATAAATACGAAGGTGTTGGAGAACTTTTTTTGGGGGTTTGCCGAGCCAACAACTTTTCCCAAAACAAACAGAAATCATCATCAAATGTTGACACAGCAGCAACAGCAGCAGCCGGTGGCAAGTGGCAAGTGGCAAGTGGGTTTCTTTTTTGGCCAGAAGCATCGCATAAAAGCCATGGCCAAGTGCCAGAGAAGCCACATAACAAAAACCCAACCACATCGACATCATGTCTTTCAAGTGGATCACACTCTGTGCCCTTGTGGCACTACTCAGCATCGGCACCGGCAGCTGGGCCAAGCCGGGTGCCAGACAGAGGCACAGGACCATTCAGGCGAGGCCCAGCAAGGAGCAGGTACCCCAGAATCTGCTGTACTATGCCGATGCCATCGATGATGATGATCAGGATCAGGATCACGATGATATCCGCGAGCATGAGGAGGATATTGACAATGAAGCAGGCAAAGACGACGAAGAGGAGGAGGTGAACGATCCCAACCAGGAGCTGGTTAAGGCAGAGGAGGAAGAGACTGCAGATGATCTGCAAAAGGCCGATGAAGATGCCATCGATGAGCAGGAGGCCAATGAAGTGGTAGAGCAGGTCCTGGAGCTGGTACGCCCCGAGGCACGCGCCCGTCGACGTGGCAGCCGTCGCGGCGGACGCCGAGGCCGCGGAGGCCAGAAGCGCAGACGTGGCGGCAATCGGCGTTGCGGTGGACGCGGAGGTCGTGGTGGACGTGGACGACGGGGACAGCGAAAACCGAATGTGTCCAGGCGCAACGGCAACAAACGACGAACGGGCAGCAACAAGCGCCAGTCACAAAGGAAACCGTCCAACAACAACAAGAACAACGACAACAAACAGCAGACTAGTGGATCAACCAGCAGGCTCATAATCGCGGCTTAAATTCGTGAAGACTATTGCCAGAGTTTTCCTTTCCCGCCTTCTTATATTAAACAAAAAAAAACCAACAAATTCTTCCAACTTTCAATTCTTCATTCAAATCTGAGAGGGTATCAAGTCGAGGGTATGCGCACTTCCCTGCTTTTATAGTCCGTGGTGTCGTTAAAGATTAAATATGAACCAAAGTATTTGATATTCACAGGATAATGTCGTCGTATTGTGGTCTGCTTTAGCTCCGCCGGACAATCCGATTTGAGGACACAGATCTTCCGATCACCATCGATAATGTAACCCTCCCGGCACACACACGGTCCACCGCACTCGTTCGAACAGGTTTCACTCACAAATTCACAGGTCTCCGGACAGGCGCCGGGACACACGGCCAGGGTCCCATTCACTGTGCAATCTACTTCCGCATCATCAGGCATGCTTAGAGATCCAACCACTGCGAGCAGGTGGCACAACAGGCAGATATATTTCCCATGCAAGTTTGTCATATTTTCCAATGGGTTGTCAAAATGGAAGTGACATTTTCTTTGATATGCGAGCTGATAAATGTTCTGGAAATTGGTTATGCCTTGCGGCATTGCAAATTCAATTGGTTGTACATTAATCCACATGAATCAATCCTGTCCCTTCGCTTATGGGAAATTTGGCAAAGCAAAAGGAATGACATGGAAACGAGTGGAACATGGTTAACACTTTCGTCCTATTTCTTTTGTTTCCAATTCGTGCTTATGAATATTGCTTGGTTGGCTTTTTGGTGGCTTAACGCTCACATAGCAGATAACCCACTCCCCGCCAGCCATGTCCATTTCAGGCGGTTGATCTTCAAATATTTCAGTTTATATCCAGACTGGAATTCGCTTTATTGCAGCATACTTTTCGGGGCAAATGTTTTTAGCGCCAGATAAAGTTTTTATCGCATCCACATACTCTACATTTGTACGTTTTACTGTGCATGTGTGTGTGAAAGAGAATTCATGTGGCAGGTAGTACAACCACAAGTCATAAATTTCACCAGCGATTTTCCTTTTGTTATAGCTTTTTTTTATGTCCCTTATATTTGTGTCTGTGTGTGTGAGAGTGTGTTTGTGTGTGCATGGATGCATGACCCCATAAATTATGAAACGCTGCAATTTCGTTTAGCGGCTTTTGCACTGTTCGAAATTAGTTTTACGCCTCTTTTTTATACCGATTTAGTTTATAGTTTTTAGAGCTTGTAGCACATGAAATGCATGCATATAATGTCTCCACGACAGCACTGAATATGGAGAAAGCACTCAACTTGCTCCTGTTGTGGCACCAAACTGTGACTCCGACAGCGACACTGACTCGAATTCAGGTTGCATTGCAGCTGTTGGTGGGTCGATTTCAGTTTTGTTTTCGTTTATGCTCATCTCTTGCAATGGCTGCTGCCTGCTTGCTGCCTTGGCCATTGAGTTCGTTTACCTGACATCCTCGTTTTCCCTGGTTTGGGGATGTTCCCGAGAAGGACCACATTCACAAATAACTCAACGAAATACTCTTTCACCTGCTAAAGGTCCCCCCGAGCTGCAGTACGCTCTGAAATTTAAGAGATATTCCTGCTGAGAACATCTCGGACTGTGGCTCTGTTTACTCTGTCTACCTGTAGCCAATTTCGAGCTTCTCTTATCTGTCTGGTCTGCTGTTGGCATTTGGTCAGCCCAGTCTATGGGAATGACGGTGGGGAGGCGCACAGGTTAGGGAAAATTGGCACGACTCTATGGTAGGTGGGTGGGTGTGAGGATGGCTGTACGTACAGACTACAGGCCTTCCACTGTTTTCTGTTCCTGTCCGGATGTCTGCCAGCCGCCTGCCACTGACGTTTGCCAAATCAAATAGAAATTTTAATTGACTCTCGTTGGCTCGTTCTCAACCTCTCACTACCGGTACGTGCCATCACTTTATTCTCGTCTGGACTTTGCGTTCGAGTTCAGGTTCAGTTTGTGCTCCGTTCCCAGGGTTTCTTAAATCTAATTTGATAGCTCTTGAGAGCTGCTTTCAAAGCACGCGCCTTAACCGGCAAAACTTTAATAACTTTTTGCTTTAACTCTGATCTTTCTTTCTCTCCCTAGTTGCCTGTCACTGCTCTGTTACTGTAACCCACAGAAAGTCAACTGAGATCGCTTGCTTGAAACTCACCTTCAATTCACCTTGGACTAAGCTGCATCAAAGCTTCCTACGGTTTGTCGCTCTCTCACTCTGCTCGCTGCCTGCCTCTGCTTCGGTTCTTTGCCTTTGCTCTCTCTCTCCTTTCGATCTACTTGATAGCGGTAGCCTTTAGTTCGGCTTCTGCTTGACCATAGCTCTGTTCTCTACTCTAAAATTCGATCTAGTCCCCATTCTGCCGCTGCCTATGCATATTGGGTAGTAGCTCAGCTCTCTGCCACTGCTTTACATATTTGCCTGCCTCTGGCTGTTGCTGTTGCTCTCGCACTGCCGTTGCCCGTGTTTCTGCTTGTTTTCCATCAAACGCCAGAGGGAAGAGCTTAGAGACCACGGGGAGCAGAGCAGCCAAAGCGGGTTAAGCGCCTTTTGGGCTCGAAGCTAAATTTGCATTTGCCGCCGCCGCTGCTGCGATTTATGTGGGCGCACGCGGAAAATTGCCAGCAGCAGCAACAGCAGTGGCGGCATCATCAGATTCAGGGAATATCCTTCACTTTACCTCTCTCTCTCTCCCTCTACTCCGATGGAGTCCTTGTTGTTTGTCAACAAATTTGCATGATTTTCTTTACTTTTTCTTGTTTTGGGGTCAAAAATATGCATGTGTGTGGGTGTGGGTGTGGGTGTGTGTGTGTGTGTGAGTGTGTTTGCATATCTGTGTGCAACACTGTTTTTCACTTAATTAGCGCTCTGAATGACTCGCTGACAGTTGCCAGGAGTGAGTGTACGTGCCACAGCCGCGGGGCATGCAACAACATACAACAGTGCTCTGTCATCATGGCAACTGCTATTGTTCTTGTTCTTGCTGCTGTTTTCGCTACTGCAGTTGCCATGACAGTTGTGGCATGTGCCCAGAGACGCCACAGATTGCGGCCAAAGTTTGAGGTTCATCTGGATGCCAGAGTTCAGAATTGTGGGCCAGTTGCCATATGTAGGTTATTCGACTGATGCAGGGCCACATCGGGCACATAGATACTTAAGGGCAGGCACTTGTCCAGCACATTATATACCCTCAAAATGCCAACAATTCGGTAATAGATTGACGATGAAAATGTAGAATCTTTAATCGATTTCCAAGGGTGCAAATCATAAAAGGATAGAGTGCTTGCCCTGACATTAAGTGTTGCAAAACACGAAAAGGCACACAAATTTAACGATTGAGAATAAAGCCACAGAGCCACAGAGCACTTTGCCCCATAAAACGGAGTCCATAAACGTCGTAAACATTTTCACACATCTCAGGAATCCTTTCTTTGCTCCCCCACCCTCTCTGTTGATCCTTTAAACCGGTTTTAATGATTCTCTGCGTAACATTTGCACCCCATCGCTAGAAAAGATATCCACCAAGACATTTTTTATGCTGAAATTTTAATGAGTGCGCAACATGGCACCGCCGCTCGGATGTTGTCCCGCCTCTTCTCTGCGAATCAATGCGATACAGCAAAAGTGTTTCACAAAGAATGGGTCGTTCGGTCTATCTATCTCTTTCGTCTTTTTGTCCACCCAGTCCTGAATATATTTCCTGCTGAAAATTCATTTTATAATAGTATTTTCCTGTCGCCGACACGCGAATCAAAATGAAACACAAACAGAAAAAGGTATACACCAAAAATGAAAGAAAAAGGTGATAAAGCCAGTGCAGATTTCCGCTCAGCGATGGTCAGTCAACAAACAACAGCACTCCATGGCCGCTGGCGATGGGTGGCAGGGCACTGCAGGGCAGGGCAGTAGGCGGAAGGCAAAAAGCCAGAGTTGCATCCGGTGGGGCAGCATCTGGATGTACATACAAACACACACAAATATGGCGCTGGCTTCCGGTGGCATGACGATTTCCTTGCACTGTGGTCTCAATATTCATCATCATTCATTTCATGAAGCGAGAGCGAGTGGAGATCCTTTCCCACTCACTCTCTCTCTCTCTCTGGATGCCCCCTTTTGTGTATTATTTAATGCGTTGATGTGCGCATAATGAGCGTGATTGACATAAATGAACTTTAAATGCACCAGGGAATCACAGCCTGAGTGGCAAATGTCGAGCAGACAATGTTGGGAGCTCCTTCTAGAGGGAGTTCGCTGGCCCCTTGGCACAACGGTTGGTTGTCATGCCCAAAGCCGTGTTTGCTGGGCCGTGGTGGCATGTCCTTCCTGTAGCCAGGGGCTGGGCTGCCTGCACAGTCTCTTGTCTCGTTTTTTGTTCGTTTTGAACATTGGACATTGCTTTGCTTTGTAGGGCACTTTTGGGGCTTGCGCCTGCTCCGTTTTTTGTTCTCTCTGTCCATGGCCGTATGTTCCCTCGGGCATTTTAATCGAGTTTATTGCATGCTTCATACAGAGAAAGGGGCTGGGGAGGCTGTGGGTGTGGCTTAAACTACTAAAAGCCAAATCATCACTGGCAGCAGAAAACAAAAACAGAAACTAAAACTGAAGTTAAAACGGAAAAACATCAAAGTTTTTGGAGTACATCCGCCCGAGTTCTAGAGTGAAGGATGTTCCTTGTATTCCATCAACTGGGGCATGCAACAGGCAAAAATAAAACTCATACGCTATGCACGATATTTGGCCACATTTTAAATACATTTTCCTGCACGAATTATTCAAGAGCCAAATATTTGTATATTCACATTTATATTGCATTTCTAAATATTTTTATGCACTTTTCATACAAATAATTCAGCAGATTATATTCCTCGCCCTTTATGTGGAAAGGCTAATAATGCCCTCTGCCCTGCTGCCTTCCAAGGGCCATAAAACTGAGATATTCTCCCACTGTCCTCCCTTGGCATCCCTTGCCATCATAAAAAGTTGCAGCATCATCAACGCCCCTCGAGGGGGCGTGCAGCAGGAAGGGTGGCCAAAAGTTTGCCCCTTTTTGGCAGTCGAGATGAAACTTTGTAGCAAATATTTAAAAGAGCTCGCCTTGCGCACCCCTTAAGCCCAATCCTGCCTCTCCCTCTTTCGTTGTCTGTTTTTCTTCTGTGCAAAAAAAACTGCTTTTAATGAGCCGCTTCGGGTGGCAGAGGTAGAAAGCCAGAGAGAGAGAGAGAGAGAGGCAAAACCAATGCAACTCCACGGAAACTTCTTTGATGAAAGAGCTGGCGCACTTTTCCTATTTAATTTTAATAATCCTAATCAAGGAGCTGCAAACGTTGGAGCAATGGAAAATTATATTAGTATTTCCGAAAGTAGCCCTCTCACTCTTTTCGGTGGCACTTGACAATCCTGGCTGCAGGGATGCTTCAGCAAAAAATGCAGTGGCTTGAAAAGTGGATTAAAACCAAGAGTATTTGAAGGTCAACTGTTCGTTGAATGGTTTTTTAGATAGGAAAAC